CTTGTAAAGCATGTCGTGGATCTGCTGGCGACGCAGGCCGGGGTTCTCGCTCTTGATCCGGTCAAAGTGCGTGTCCTTGTAGGCTTCGAAGGCAGCCTTGAAGCGGCGCTCGGGGTGGCGGTCGATCTGGGCGGGTTTCCGGGCAGCCGATGGCGTAGACCCCTCGGCGTCGTCGCCGATGGCCACGGCGTCCATGAGCAAGATGGCGTCGTCGATGTTGCGGGCCTGGAAGGCCTGCACGGGCTGGCTCTGCAGCTCGGCAGCGGCCTGGGCCTGCTCCTTGGCGACGGCCTTTTTCTCGGCACCGCGCACGACGGGAGGCGGCGGCTTGACTTTGGGGGCGAGCTTGGAGGGCCCGCCGGTGCGGGGCTTGCTCTTGGCGATGCCGGAGTTTTCGGCGGCAAGCAGCTTGTCGGCCTTGGCCTTTCGGGCCAGCTTCTCGAGGCGCTTGGCCTCCTGGTCCTCCTTCTTGCCGGCCTTTTTGGCGCCCGTGGACCACGCCTGAGACTCCTTCTGTTCTTTGAGCTGGCGGGCGCGCTCGTCCTTTTCGGCCTTTGCCTCGGCCTTGATCTTGGCGGCGGCGACGGCTACAAGCAAGGGGGGGCGACTGAGGTTAGCTGGCGCTGGAGAGCACGGGTGGGAGTGGGCGATTCAACGCTACCTTTGGAGTTCTTCTCTGCGAATTTCTTTGGCATTGCGAATAAAGAGAGAGAAAAAAAGAGCTAGCGTACAGAGAAAGAGTCAGCGTTCAGACGAGGGAAAAGGACCGGGGGTATCAAGGCGTTCAGTTCGAGGTTTGTTTCTTGATTCTCCGCCCAATTTTACTACACTCATATTTACGCAATCCACACAATGCAGGCGGCAGGCGGCAGGCGCGGCGGCGAGACGCCGGCGGGCAGGGCGCAGGCGGGGCAGCTGCCGGCGTCGACGGTGATTCGGACGCGGTTCCGGGACATGAGCGAGCGGGCGCCGGCGACGGCGCGCGGCACAAAGCGGTACATGGTGGACGGCAGCCCGGACGGGGCGGCGTGGCTGGAGACGCCGATCCGCGGCGGGCAGGCGCGGGCGCCGCTGGTGGACACGCAGCAGCGGCCGCAGCGGCTGTTCACGCACGAGTCACCGGCGCGCGCGCAGCTGGACTCGGCGCAGCGCGGCAGCGAGCTCGCCGGGCGCATGGAGGCGCTGCGGCGCGACTGCGAGCGCGCAAAGTTCGAGGCGCGGCAGGTGGAGCTGGCGCGCGCGCGCGACCGCGAGGAGGCGGCGCAGGAGCGGCAGCAGCTGGAGGCGCGGCTGCTGGCGCAGACGCAGCGCGTCGAGCGGCTGGAGCGCGACCGCGCGTGGCTGGCCGAGCAGGACGCGCGGCTGGCCGAGCAGCGCCGCGCCGTTGACGCGCAGCTGGACGCGCAGCGCCGCGCGCACGCCGCGCAGCTCGACGAGGCTGCGGCTACGGAGCACGCGCTGCGCGAGCGCCTGGACGCGGCCGCACGCGTGTTGCGCGAGACGCGAGCCGAGCACGTCGCGCAGCTGGAGCGGCAGCGGGCGGGCGCCTTGCAGCACGCACAGGACGCGGCGCTGCAGCACACGGTGGACGCGCAGCGGCGCGAGCTGGCGGCGAAGGACCAGGAAATCGCCGAGCTGCAGCAGCGGCTGCGCGCCCAGGACGGCGGCGGCGAGTGCGACACGGCCACGCGGCCACACCAACGCGTCGCGCAGCTGGAGCGCGACCTGCGCGAGCAGTGTGCGCGCGCCGCCACGGCCGAGAAGCAGAGCGCCGTTGCTCAGGAGCAGAGCGCAGCCGCCGAGAAGCTGAGCGCCGCTGCTGAGAAGCAGTGCGCCGAGGCGCGCGAAGCTGCGGCGGCGCTGGAGGCCAAGGCCGCGCGGCTCGAGGCGCAGCTGCGCGAGCGCGCGCACGACGGGGCCGAGCTGGAGGCGCTGCGGCAGGAGCGCGCGCAGTGGCAGCGCGTGTTTGCCGACGACGCGGGCGGCTCGCCGCTGGCCGTGGCGCGCGCCGTGGCCGCGCAGCGCCAGGCGGCCGCGCAGCTGAATACGCGCGTGGCCGAGCTCGAGGCCGCCGCCGACGCGCACGCCGCGCAGCTGCGCGAGCACGCCGCCACGGCCGCGCAGGCCACGCGTCGCGCCGAGCAGCTCACGCAGGACCTGGCCGACGCGCAGCTGGCCGCCGCGCGCGTTGAGAGCGCGCGCCAGCACGCCGTCCGCGAGGCTGCGTTTCTGCGCGAGCAGCTGCACTCGTACGACGCCGAAGAGGCGGCGCTGTGCGGCAACTACGACCGCCAGAAGGCCACGCGCATTGCGCAGCTCGAGAGCTTCATTGACGAGCAGCGCGCGTGGCTGGCGGCACCGGATAAGGAAGGTGCGGCGGAGAAGGAGGGCGCGGCGGTTAGGGAGGGCGCGGCGGCGGCGCTGCTGCAGAGCTACCGTGAAGACGCGGAGCAGAAACAGCGCGCCCTGCAGAGCTGCCGTGAAGACGCGGAGCAGAAACAGCGCGCCCTGGACGCGGCGCGCGCCGAGCACGAGCGCCTGAGCGCGCGGTTTGACGCGCTGGAGAAGGAGGCCGCGCGGCTCGAGCACCAGGTGGGCGCCGGCCTGGGCTACGACCCGCGCACCACGCGCATCCTGCAGCTGGTCGACAACCCGGCTGCGCGAGACTACGCCATCCGCTCTGACAAGCTGCGCGCGCTGGCCGCCGAGAACGCCGCGCTGCTTGAGCGCATCCGCCTGTTGGAGCAGCCTTCGACGCTGGGCCAATCGTCAGCGCCGGAGCAGCCATCGGATGGCGCCGCTCCCGAGGCATCGCCCTACTTCCACACCATCGACAACCTGCGCGCCGAGAACCTCACTCTGGCGCGCCAGCTCGACGACTCGGCCAAGCTGATCAGCCGCCTGAAGCGCGAGTGGAAGCGCAAGGCCGCCGAGCTGCGCGAGGTCGTCTACGCCGTGCTCGGCTACCGCGTCGACTTTCTGGCCAACGGCAGCGTGCGCTTCACGTCCACGTACGCCGCCCACGTCGACCAGAGCCTGGTCTTCACCAGCGCCGACGCCGACCAGGCCGTCATGCGCCTGCTGGGCGGCGGCAGCAAGTCGTACGTGCAGGGCCTGGCCAACGACATCCGCTACTGGGTTCAGGAGCGCGGCAGCATCCCCGGCTTCATGGCCACCGTCACGCTGCAGAACTTTGAAGCCCAGGCCGATGGCAGCGCCAACGACAATGCCAACGCCAGCCCCACGCCGTGACTCTGCCCATGTGAACCCCCCTCCCCGCCCTTTGAATGCCCGTTTTGAATGTCAGTTATATATGATCCTTCCAAATCCTGCTCATAGAAACTCCTCTATATGTCGTTGGCCGCGCTGAGGATCTTTGTCAGCTGCTCAAACTTCACGCTCTCGCTGATCACCGTCGTCTTGGCCTCGTTCTCGGCCTTGAGCGGCAGCGACACCACGCCCTCCGCGCTCACCGCCCACCCCTGCTCCTTGGCCAGCCGCAGCACCGCCTCCTCGTCCAGATTCAGCATCTTGCCCACCAGCCGCGCCTGGATCGTCTGGTACGTGCTGCCGATCTCGCCCACCACCAGCCGCCGCAGCCCATTGTCGAACCCCGCTATCCCGTCCACCGCCGACTCCTCCTCGTCGTCGTCGTTGTCCCCGTACATCTCCTTCCAGAAGCTGTCGAACTGCGCCCGCTCCAGATAGTCCCGCAGCTGCAGCAGCTTGCGCACCGACGCGTCCTGGCAGATGTCGTCCGACAGCAGATACAAGCACAGGTTAAAGTCCCCCGGCGTCGCCGATATCAGCGCCTTGCACAGCACGCGCCGCACCACGTCCAGGTCCATCATCGCCGGATTGAACTGGTACATCTTCAACAGCGCCAAATTCGCCATCACGTCGTGGTTCGTCGTCGGATCCGGATTGGCGCATTGGTGCGCCAGGTAGTCTTCGAGCACGCCAATCTTTTGCGGATTGTACCGTTCTACCCCTGTTAGTAGCTGCTGGATCTCGTCCGGCCGTGTCGACGGACGCGCAAACGACGAGGCTCCGGCCATTGTTATAATGCTAGAGGGTTTTTTCTTTTAATCCTTTAATTGAAGTGGACTAAATTCCAATTGAGAAGGAGAAAGGAAAGTCTTGTTCTTTTGGTCGCTCTTCCTTATTGGAAGGGATGAACTAAAAATTGCTTGTCGGCTCGGCTCAGTCAAAGGTAAGAAAAAATTAGAGCGAGCCAAAACTGCTTCAACTCAATTGTGTATGCTTCGCCTTGTTTGTGTCTGTTGTTAATACATCTAATTCAAATTCCACCCACCTGATGGAAGCCCCCTATACCACGTACAAGAAATCCGAGTTTATCGAGACCGACACCGGCAACAAGGTGAGCCGGCGCTCGCTAATCTCCGGCAGCCAGAACATTGTGCTTGGCGGCAAGTCCATCGTCCATCACAAATGCACCATCCGCGGCGACCTCCGCCGCGCCGGCCCCAGCCACCAGGCCGCCATCCTTATCGGCCGCTTCTGCTCGCTCGGCCCCCACTCCGTCCTCCGCCCGCCCTACAAATCATACAAAGCCGTCTTCTCCTATTATCCGCTCAAAATCGGCGACCACGTAGACATCGGCCCCAACTCTATCATCGAGGCCGCTTCTATCGGCTCCCACGTGCGCATTGGCGCCAACTGCATTGTCGGCCGCTTTGCTATCATCAAGGACTGCTGCCTCATCGAGGACGGCGCCGTCATCGCCCCCAACTCCGTTATCCCACCATTCTCCCACGTTGCCGCTGGCCCGCCCGCCCGCATTGTCGCCCAGCTGCCCGAGTCCACCCTGGAGGCATTCGAGGCTCTGTCCAAGGACGCCTACGCCAAGTTTGTTCCCGAATAGCTCTGCCATTCTCAAAATGTACACTAGATTTTCTTTGTAAATAATCATGCTTTGGGTTATATACTGTTTTATGCAACCACCTTGCAGGCGCTAAAATTACATGTTTAGCTTGATTGTCAGTTTGGCCGAGTGGTCTAAGGCGATAGACTAGAAATCTATTGGGGTCTCCCCGCACAGGTTCAAATCCTGTAGCTGACGTTTTGCCTTTTGTTTATTTGCGTGCGTGATGGGCAAATTATTTTTTTGTTTTATGTCGCTGCCAGATGTATTTTTAGTTTACAAGTCTCAACTTTTAGATGTTTTTTACGCAATTTGTAAACTATATCCATTTAAATTAGCACCTTGAACAGATGTTAAACCAATTTATAGAACATACATTGTTCAACATTATCAATATGTATATAGATGTTATATGTAATAGGCTAATTAAACTCATATTCCATGATTTTAAATTGTCAGGAGCACATATATACTAATAAACAAACTAAATTTCATGCCAAAAGGGCTTTAGTACCCCCCAAATACTTTAGCTCCAGTACTTTGGCACATATCAAAGCTATTTACTTTAAATTATAGCTTGTATATTAACGTATCATACTATGCAATAACAACTGGCCTTAATATTTGCTACAAGTAAAAGCATTCTATTCAATTTGAATTAAATAAGGCTTGTACTATTATTATAATCAGCTTGCCACTTGATTAAATAAACACCTTTATATTATTTCCTGCTTTCCATGTCTAGTAGCAGCCAAGATTCTCTTTTGCTAATATGTACAAAGCAACAATTGGCAGAGAAAGCCTACTTTAAAAAAAAGCCCTCCCAATCTGCATTTTTACCTTACCTGCAAATTTCTAAAGAGCAAGCCCTATTGGCTGGACATGCCAAGACTTGCCTGTTGGTTCTTGGCATTTTCATGCAAAATGCAGCTGCAGCCCTTTGAAGGCCAACTTTAAAAGAAAGTATGAGCAAAGCACCTTATATGATTAAAAGAAGCAAAAGTTCATGATGACAGTGGCTACTTTATGCAAATATTCAAAAAAAAACCCTGCAGAGGCTTTGTTAAATAAATTCACCATTCTGCATTTTCTCTTGATGTGTGTCTTCATGAACAATGTCTGTTATTATCTTTACTAATTGAAATTACAGCATTTTCACTCTACAGACAATGCAATCTCCTCCCTTGTCAAACAGCTAACCACCACCTCACATTTTCTTTCCCCCTTCCTCAGAACACCCATTTCTGCAAGCCTGCACAATTGGTTAACCACTATGTGTTGTCAACTAATTAACTACTACACTATCTGATGTTATTTTGCCTGGAGGTACTTACAACACAAGAGCAACTCTTGCAAAAGAAATTACACTTCATAACAGCCTTATTGAATTTGACACAACTAGTGAAGGTGAATATGGCAGCCTTTATATCATGGAAGGCCAACAGGCAGATTACTTCTTTTATGATTTGATGCTACATATAACAGGTATTTCACCTAGCTTGAGAAAAACTACTGAAGATGGAAATATTAAATTAGACTAAACACCCAACTATCTAAGATAATGTCTATTGTTTCAATCTCTTCATTAAACTATATAAGTCAAGCAGTTGCCAAATGCATAGCTTGTGACACTAGTCACCATTGCCTATGTGGTCCAACAGTACAGAAATTCACACCCCATGATGCACAGTACACAACAGTTGGGAAAGGTGACAAGTAGATTTTTCTAGTGCCAGCAATAAATTAAAACATATAATTTGACATGCTTTCATTATATAAAATACTTGGTTTGATGGACAAGTACATGTAATAACCAGCAAAGATAGGATCAAGCAGCTGCATTGCCCATTTTCCTGGGCATACTAATTTTCCCACACTTGCTTTTGGAAAGATTACATTTTTCTTTTTAATGTCCAGCTTGATTGGAAGTGGAGATAAGCTCTCTCTGTTTGTGGGAAAATTAATCTAAAATTCATCTGTTTGTTTGCATCCCATTGCACCAGCTGGTTCCCACAGTTATTTGCTATAAAAAGGGTTGCTGGCATCCATTCCAAAACAACAAGGCCGCACAAGATTCCACTAAACAACCATATCTTCATTGTTTCTTTGCCTGCCAGCATGCCAGGAATAAATACTGCCAAGCCAAGACACCAAATCCCTGGAGGGAGATACAGCAGCATGAGCGAGCTTGTTGGCGAGATCAACAAGAGAAACGGCACCAGCTACACAGCAATAAGAGATGCAGCCGGCGCCGACCTCAGCTTTCCGCTCGCCGTCGGCTTCGACGGCACCACGTTCATTGCCAGCAGCAGCCACGTGACCACCGCAATCGTAATAAATGAGTAAAAAATTGCCAAAAAATTGCCTTCTGCCAGAATCGAACTGACGACCTTCTGCTTACTAGGCAGACGCTCTGCCAACTGAGCCAAGAAGGCCACGTGACTCGCTAGGCCCCGAAGGACCTGCCAACCCACGCTGCTGATAGTGCTTGCTGCGGCACGTAGGCACTCTGCGCCAGATGCGCGCGACCTGTTTTGGAGCTTAATCACGGTGCGTGATCGGCGGCGATGGGGATGCTGGATCTGGGAGTGGCGCGCTGGGTCGGCGACTCAGCGGATGACGCGAGGGCGGCGGGTGGCGGCCTGGTATCAGGTGTAGTGTGACTGCGGCGTGTAGTGGCCGTTGCTAGCATTTGCGCCAGCAGACCGGGCGCAATTTGCAGGCTTTGAACCAGAATTCAAATAAAGACGCTCGCAATCCCGAGAGGCCCAGAGACGGCGAGCGTGTGGGGGCAGAGCCGAGCTGAGCCGCGGGCAGGGGACACGGGTTGCCTGAGAATTGGCGGGCACACTACACCCGGCGTGCATGCGAGGGCAGGGCAGAAAATTTCCTGAGTGCAAGGAGATTTGCAGGCTGGGCTTGGGCGAAGAGAGCGCGGCACATAAAATTGGTGTTCTTTCCACCCTGCACACTATACGTGGGCGCAGGACGAGAGTGCCGGCCACTACTTGCGCAGCATTGGGGGAGTTTGCTCAGCTTAAGAGCGCTGACGAGAGGATGGGAGCGGCGACAGCTGGGCGTTTCAGCTTCTCTTCTCTTCTCTTCTGTTGCTTCCTTTTTTATACTTCTGCCATACAAACGCATCGCATACGTTCTTTCTTTCTATATTCATTCTAAAGCATCGACTTGCCGGCCGAGTGAACGGGGTGCGGCCAGAAACAAAAAAAGCCAGCTTTCTCTGCGACACATAAAGGTACTGCTCTTTTTTGCTTCTTTGAACGCGTTTTGTCCTTTCCAGCGGCGAATCGTCCCCATCCTCCCCTTCCCGCGCGCAGCTATAAAAAAACCAGTAGCAAGGGAGGTTGTGACGACCTGCGCATTTCACTTCCGTCCCCTGGTCCTTTCTTTCCGCGCGTGCCTGGCGTTCCTGTCCGGCATCCCTCATTTCATCTTTGCATTTTCTGCTCTTTGTGGACCGCGCTCGTTTCTTTTTGTTTTGGTTGTTTGGATGGTATATTCCAGAGACGGTCTAAGCAGGCACGATTTGACGTTGCACGTATAGGAACAGCACAGCACACATACACACGATGCCTCAGATGCTAGTACTCGTCGGGCTGCCGGGCTGCGGCAAAACGGCATTTGCGCGGCGCATGGCGGCGCACATCGCGGGGTGGGAGCGCATCAATCAGGACGAGATGGGGTCGCGGTCGCTGTGCGAGCAGCACGCGGCAAAGTGCCTAGCGGAGGGCAAGAACGTGGTGGTGGACCGGTGCAACTTTGACGAGGACCAGCGCAAGATCTGGGTCAAGATCGCCGAGGACGCGTTTGCGCCGGTGGACGCGCTGTTCTTCGACGTGGACGTCAAAGTGTGCAAGGAGCGCGTCAAGGCGCGGAGCGGACACCCGACAGGCGTGGAGGGCAAGTTCGGGGCCGAGGTGGTGGCGCGGTTCGACCGGCTGCTGACGCGGCCGACAATCTACGAGGGCTTCCGGTACATCCACAACGTGGCGGCGCACCTGCCACCGCCGAAGAAGAACATGTGCGAGGAGGAGGTGTTCTGCCACGGCACGATCGACAGCATCATGCTGATGTTCCCGCCCAGCAAGGCGCCGGAGCCGTGCGTGCCGCCGCCGCCGCCCAAGCCGTGCGAGGAGGTCAAGGTGGCGGTCAAGGTCGAGGAGCCGAAAAAGTGCGAGGAGGTCAAGGAGGAGGTCAAGGTGACGGTCAAGGTTGAGGAGGAGAAAAAGGCCAAGGCCGTGGACTTTTGCGCGGCCGAGTTTGCGGGCGAGCCGCCGGTGGGCACGCTGACCAAGCCCAACGAGGGCTACGGCACGTACAAGGAGACCAAGGCGATGTGGGAGGACGAGAACCACACGCAGCACTTTAACCACTCGCTGTACAACGAGCAGGCGGACCGCGAGCTGGCGGCGGGGCGCGAGGCGGACCGGCGCACGCGGCACATCCAGCACTCGGACCACATGGTCAACCCGAACGCAGGGCTGGCCCGTGCGTTCGACCATCTGTCGCTGGACCGCGACCAGGAGGGCCACGAGATCGACTGCCACGGCAAGCGTCGGCACTTCCACGACCGCTCGCACTACTACCACCAGCACGAGCACCAGGAGAACGCAAAGGCCGGCACCGCGCGCACTTACGAGCACAAGCACATGAACAGCTTCCGCCACGTGCACGCCGACAAGCCCGACAAGGCGCGCACGGAGGCATTTGAGCACCGCTCGTTCAACTACGCGTACAAGGGCGGCGCCGGCTTCGACCCCGAGCAGGTCATGATGAGCTCGTCAAAGAACAAGCTCAAGTTTGAGGACGAGATCAAGGCGTCGTTCCACAACCTGCCTGTCAACGACCACTTTTCCTTTGCCCAGAACGTAAAGTGGGAGTCCGAGTTCCCTACGCGGCCTAACTGGAGCGTGTTTGGCGGCAAATGAGGCTCCCCACGCATTCAGATACAAGTTCTCTCCTCTTTGTTTTTCTATAGCATATCTTGACACTTTAGGGCTTTGGAGGACGGCATCCCAGTGGCTGTAGGTCGTGTTCATGGCATAGCATTGACTGTGTGTTCAGGCCAGCTCTTGAACAAGACCTAGTCCGCCTTCTACATCGGATCCCGCTCTTTTCTCTCGTTTTCAATATCACAGTTGGTATTACTAGCATTGGAATGCGACTACAGCTTGGCGGTG